AAAGCTTTAGGTTGCAGTACTGCTCCTTTCACATATGTGCACACATGCAGGGAGCAGGTTGTGGTGGATTTTTTCTGAGGAGCAATGCTTGCTTTGGTTAAAAAATTAAAAAGTGGTGTTGGTACTCATCTCTTGATAAAAGTGCTGTAGGTGCCAGCAAAAATAACTGCTGTAGGTAGCAAAAAATAGGTGACTGTACTCCTAAGTAGCCTGTGGGTAACTGTAATTCTAAGTGGCCAAGCAAAGCCATCCTCTTCCAATCCATGCTATGTGTGTGGTGAGGCACTACCATGCCAAGCGCCCTATAGCAGGGGTTGTAAAGAAGAAGCAAAGATCACCAGTGTGGAAGCAATGGTTCTTCAACATCAACTTCATTGGACTTGTCATGTTGTTCGGATGCCTGATTATTGTCTTCCAAAGCAATTACTCTATTCTAAACTTTAAAATGGAAAGTGTAATGCTGGTGGTCAACAAGAGGTTTAAAGACTCTCTCAAGACAAATCTAAAAAAAATGTAGTATAAATACAGACAACTGGGAAACACTGGCCTGCGAGTCTCCAATTGGAGAACAGCCTTTACCAAAGGTGTCGTGGACTTTGAAGACACTCAAACTCAGGACGAAAGGGAGAAACCTGCTAAGAGGAAGGCACGCTTGGCAATCCCTCACCATGATCAACTCCCGCCCGGAAACCTATGTTCCCCACTGTGGAAGGATGTGTGGATCCAGAATTGGCCTCCACAGTCACTTATGGAGTCACTGTTAAAACCATGTTTATGGAAGACAATCTTACTCAGCTACAAGTGATCGCCAAAGAAAGAAGAAGACAGCAGGGGTTGCTAACCTGACGGCTGTGAACACTCATGTACCTGGAGAGGCCTCCCCTGGTGCCTGCAGGGTTTCCTCCCCTGACCCTGAAATTCAACTTGAAGGAAGCATTATATTGTAGTCAATATAAGAGATTAGTCTGCACACCAGAGCCTTGAGAGGAAGGCCAATAGCTCAGTGTGATGGAGCGTCCACTCTCCATGCAGAAGATCTCAGTTTCAATCCACAGCATCTCCAGGTGGGGCTAGGAGAGACCCCTGCCTGAAATCCTGGCGAGCTGCTGCCAGTCACTGTCAACAACACTGAGCTAGATGGACCAAGGCCTGATTTAGGGTAAGGCAGTTTCCTATGTTCCTGCATTTGTAAGTGGGCTGCCATGTGGTTCTGGCAGAAAGGACTTCACTAACTTGCCTGACTGCAACAGAGTGGACCTAGTACAGTGGTACCTTGGGTTACATATGCTTCAGGTTACATACGCTTCAGGTTACACATTCCGCTAACCCAGAAATAGTGCTTCAGGTTAAGAACTTTGCTTCAGGATGAGAACAGAAATTGGGCTCTGGCGGCGTGGCAGCAGCAGGAGGCCCCATTAGCTAAAGTGGTGCTTCAGGTTAAGAACAGTTTCAGGTTAAGTATGGACCTCCGGAACGAATTAAGTACTTAACCCGAGGTACCACTGTGCTGTGCAGCAGTAGCATGTGTGGGGCGTGGGGGAAAGAGCTCTGATTGGCTCCTGTGAGAAGCCAGTTGACAACATGCTCTGGAAGCACATCCATGTGAGGCAGCAGGGCTAGGACAGAATAGTGTTCTTTTTAACACACCTTAAATTAAAATCATGGCAAGAAAGGTCTTCTGAGCCTCTCCCCTTTACTGCTAAATAGCTACCAGCAACATCCCACATTTGAGCTTGCAGGATGGAAAGCTCCAGCATCTCTCTCTCTCTGTCTGTCTGTCTTGTCTCTCTGAAAGCAAACCCTCCAAACACCTTTCATGTAACAGCATGGGAAAAAATCAGTAACTGGCAGCGGGAGGACATTAAATATATAATACCAAACTTCTACATGTACTATGAAATACCTGTTGTTACCTTATTAGGTAGTCCTGCCAAACAGTCATTTTCTTTCTGTCTTAATTGACTTAAAATATGGAGATTCTGCGCTCCCCTGGTGTTTTGCTAAGGCTTTTGAAAGCATAACTGAAGAGCTGCAGACTCATACACATTCTAATGGTCTGCTCATTTAATAACAGCATTGTGCGCAAGAAGACTCAAGGAAAATAATTAACTCTGACAGTTCAATTTTTATTTTTTTGTCATTCAAGGATGATGCACTCTATCTTTCTTGGCTTTTGCTTTACCATTCTCTTACTCACAGGGCATAGATATATTGACAAGCATGTGCCTACTTAGCGAATGCTTTGGCTTCTGCTGCTGTATCCTGAGACAGAACAAGCCCCCTAGGAAAATATGTTGTAGAAGTATTGGCAGCAGAGGTTGGTTCACACATGCATGAATCAAGGTGTCATGTGGTAACAATAGAGATGGGGAAAGGCTAGAGTGACACGCAGCATGAACTTCTGGTAAAACATTACATCTGCCTTTGCATTAGAAGTTGTTATGGGAAAGATGGTGTGACTCTAGTCTTTGTATACCCATTTGGTGGTTACTTGCATATGCGAATGAGACATCAACAGATCACACACACCGCAGAGGGGACTGCCATAACATTTTACATTACCTCAAGCACAATGTTCACACATTCAGCTGTGGCTCATCAAGTCTTTCGTGGTCAAATGATGGGGTGCACAAATATTTATTTATTTGGAAGCATTTATAAACTGCTTAAGATTTTTAAAAATCTTCAAGAAGTGTACACTATAAAAAAGAAAGAATATCGTTAAAACAACCTAAAACCAATTAAACAAAAGTATAAAAGCATTTAAAAAGCAAATAAAACAAGAATTCATGCATAAGTGAACTGGACAAGTAAATCTAAAATGAAAAAGTATGCAAAAGACTGCAAGAGTATTACTAGGAAAATGTTATTATTTATTGAATTTATATACTGCCTTATACCCTGAGGTCTCAGGGCGGTCCACAGAAAAGAATAATAACTGACTTGCAGCTAGACCCATATCTTCCAAGTTTCCTAATAAATAAGTAGAACTCCTTTTCTTTTATAATAAATAAAAATGTAATAAATTATTGCTGATTGTGAGCTGCCTTGAGAAACTCGTGGTCTTGAGAAAAACTGCATAAAAGTCACTTAAATAAATATATAAACATTTTTCTCACAGTGTATATTTGCTTCTGTAGAGGATTCTTGTAAAGCTGTGTGAGTAAAGATCATTTCATGTGATCCATTCTATTGCTAGAGCTCACTTCTACTTGTTTATTTTTTTTTAACAGTGAAAGCTGGTGAAGAAGAAGAAGAAGAGGAGTTTGGATTTGATATCCCGCTTTATCACTACCCGAAGGAGTCTCAAAGCAGCTAACATTCTCCTTTCCCTTCCTCCCCCACAACAAACACTCTGTGAGGTGAGTGGGGCTGAGAGACTTCAGAGAAGTGTGACTAGCCCAAGGTCACCCAGCAGCTGCGTGTGGAGGAGCAGAGACACGAACCCGGTTCCCCAGATTACGAGACTACCGCTCTTAACCACTACACCACACTGGCTCTCAGTGTGACCTCTGCATATTTGCCCAGCATGCTAGTCACCACTACAGCAAGCCTATCCCATTTATTTTATTTTAAGTAGAGCTCTGTTTTGTTATTATATAAGAGTAGTTTGTATTGGTTTTAACTGGCATGGGTTTTTTAAGTTGCTTTATATTTTTTTTAAAAAAGGAAATAGACAAATACTTTTTAAAAGTAAACATTCCCCACCCTATAAGAGAGTGCTATTTTAGGACAACAGAGCAGATCTGGTTGTTGTTAGGGACTTTGGGGACAGGTTTCGTCTGGAGAGATACTTGATCATGTACATTTCTGAAAAGGATCAAATACTTATGTATGCTTGCGTATTCTCTCCCCCTCACCCCACCCCTGCCACATCTAAGTAATGATCAGCACTCATTCCCAAACTGGGGCAATAGTACCCTTGGGTGTACTGGAACTTTCATTAGGAGATACTTGAGAAAAATCCAGTAATGGCTGCTATTATTTCTCCAATCTCGTCTCTAAGATGCATATCCAGATTTATGGAAAATGCACAAATAGCTCGGACATTAGCTAAAAACCAAGAAGGCACCACATTGTGTAGTTCTTGGTATATATTTGTCACATGTGGATTTCATCTCTTTACTGGTCTTGGACCACCTGATGATTCCTTCAGGCTGCTGCAGGGGCTTCTGCAGGGATTAGTGTATAGGCCATCTGTGGCTCTCATGTGTCATGTGTCTGGTGCACTGATTTAGTGCATCAGAAGAAATAACCCAATGGTGTAGTTAGAAGATTTTGCCTCAGTACGGTGGCCCACGGATGTCCTGTAAGCTTGGACCTATGAGTCTTGGGTTCATATTTTGACTCAGCTTTGACTTCATTTCCCAGTATAATACTTAGGCTGCAATCCTTTAAGCACGTATGTGGGAGTAAACCCCACTGAACTTGAAGAAACTTACTTCTGCACATGTCACTTGCATTATTTTGTTGTAATTTAAGAACCCTGAAAGTTAGATCAGTAATAGCCACATATTACACACGTGGGGTAAAGCCTGAAAGAAGGCTTCTTGGCTCAATCCACAAGCTGTATAATAATTAATAGTAGCAGCTACAAACTTTAGTTAGATCATTAATCATCTACGTTTTTCATTGATTAATTTAGGGCTCCATAATCAGCTAAATCTTTTGTTGATTAGTCAGAGTTCCACTCAGTGGAGCTGTGCATTAAAGGTCCATACCCTTGTTTTATTTGAGGGAGGTATTTTGGTGCTATTACTATAACATAGAAAAATAAAGTATTTATGATGCCTGTGTTTCCTTAACAATGAGTTAAATCACGGGTAGGCAAAGGCCCGGGGGCCGAATCCAGCCCAATCGCCTTCTAAATCTGGCCCGCGGACGGTCTGGGAATCAGCGTGTTTTTACATGAGTAGAATGTGTGCTTTTATTTAAAATGCATCTGTGGGTTATTTGTGGGGCATAGGAATTCATTCTTTTCTTCTTCTTCAAAATATAGTCCGGTCCCCCACAAGGTCTGAGGGACAGTGGACCAGCCCCCTGGTGAAAAAGTTTGCTGAGCCCTGAGTTAAATGAACTACATTGCCTTATAGATTCAGGTAGGTCGCCGTGTTGGTCTGACAAAGTCAAAATATATAAAGAAATAAAAAAAAAATAGTCCAGTAGCAACTTAGAGACCAACTAAGTTTGTTCTTGGTATAAGCTTTCATGTGCAGTATGCATGCACACGAAAGCTTATACCAGGAACAAACCTAGTTGGTCTCTAAGGTGCTACTGGACATATATATATATACACACTACATTGCCTTATGTCTGAATTTCTCAAATGATAATCCATACTGAAGTTTTGCAAATAGAACCAATGAGTTAATTGACTGGGTAAAAGGAAGGTGATTAACCAATTTTTTTAAAAAAAGAAGAAGAAAAGGAGTGACAGAAACCAGTAAAACTTGCAGCCCATTTTGCAGGAGTGTTGTGAGAGTAAAGGATTGTAAGAACCTATATTAATATCATTGCTGATGATGATCAATCACTTCTTCCAGGTCTTTAGCCCTACAATTTCATGAATCCTGACTTAAAGGAATATGCATAAAACAGATTTTAGTGGTTCCTGAAATAATCCTCATCAATTCAATTACATAGGCAAGAGGCCAAGGACTGTTATAGGGCAGCCGTTACAGAATATTTATCGGGATGTAGCAATGTGTCACCTCATTTTTAAGCCACATGACTTCTCCCCCCCCCCTCAGTGTTATCCTGAAGAGTTAACACTAGATTTTAGGTGTCAAGTTAACCTTCCAGCTAGAGCAGCCCAGGCTGTGTCATCCAATGCCAGAGCCATAAGCCACTTAATTACTGCAGCCTTCTGCACAAGCAAGCACTCTGGAGGTTAATCTCTTGTTTGATGTGGACTGAAACTGTCTTAACAATAGCTATTTGCAACCTGTCTGGTAGCACCTGGATCTCTGGCATGCAGTAAATTGTATAGGTTAGCCACATAGTGACACTGTTAAAGTTGTTTAAGTAGATAAGCTTTATATACAGAGAACAAGAACCTGGCCTAGTCTGCATGGAGTTTGTTTTACACTACCACAATCTCCAAGCGGTGCAAGATCCCAGGGATTCCAGGGTTTGGTTTCCTTTGGAATGAGGTACATTGGAGACCATGGTGTCTTTAGGATATACTGTATATGTGCTTATTTACATATGTATACAACCTCTGCCTGCAATGGAAGGGTTCACAGCATTAACACCTCAAGTGGGCCTTGCTTTTCCCAGAGCCACAGCCTTGGATTTCAACCAAAATCAGGCACAGCTCTGTCTCTCAGCTGCCCAGGCTGCAATTTACCAGCTTCTACATTCTAGCTCACATAACTCAATTCCCAACTCTGGTCTACCAATGAGTTGAGGGAAGGGGGCCACCCATTTGCACAGCACCACTTCCTTTGTTACCTTAATGGCCTATCCTTAGAGGGCCATTACCCCTTACCTTGAAGCTAGCCTGGCTATTCCAGGAATAGAATCCATGCTGGATTCAGGAATTAGAAGGGAGTTCTACCTTCTACCTACCTGCCCCCCAAACTCATAGCGCTGTTATTTACCAGTCAAGCTCTCCCCACTTGAGTGTGTAAGTCACAGAGCTCTACAAAGTTCTCTTGAACTTAGTTGCTTTTTCTTTCAAATCACATGTTTAGAATTAGAGTGACAATAGTTTACAATAGAAGAGGAACAGGGCACTTATGACCCTTCCAAATGTTGTTCGAGTTGGGCTACAACTCTCATCATTCCTGATAGTGGGCCATTCTGGCTGGGCAGATGGGAATTGAAATCCAACAATTCTCTTCTCTGTGGTTACGCACAGACCCTATGGAGTACTCTCCCTCCTGCCGTTCAGGCATCAACTTTTGGCAGGTTTTAAACACCCACTGAAAACTCATCTGTTCAGGCAGGCTTTCCTTGATCATTACCATTTTGTTTAGATCATGCTGCTCAGTATTTTGTTTTAATAATTTGTTTTAATATGCTACTGGGTTTTGATATTATATGTTCATTTGGTTTTTATCACATGACTTTATAACTGTAATGCTCTGCATGCCGCTTAGAAATTTTTATATTATGTTGCATATAAGTAAATAAAATGTGAAGAGCCACAGGTTCCCCATAGCTGCTGTAATTGAATAATTTGATATATTTAAATCCAGTACTGATTAAATACAGAGCCCCAGATGAAATTGGCATGATTTCCTGAAAGAATGGCAGCATCTTAATTTTCAAATAACTGAACCTTGTTTCAGAAGATTCACACACATACACACTTCAAATCACTAGCAATACATTGATTCGCTCAGGCACAGAAAGATATTCTATCTTCATGTTTCAGTGATGAATATTTGTAATCTTTTTCTAATTTAAAAAGAAACCCCTGCATATTTGATATTGCTGTACAGGAGGATCCAGAATGTTTACATTTCTGTTTTCTTCATAGCTTCAGTTATTTGAATTAATGCTTGAACCTTCCCTGCTATAAGTCTTGGGTGCTATTCACCCTAATTTCAGTGAGTCTAAGTAAAACTTCGTTGAAGACTGTCACTTACATTTTACCTTCCAACTCCATAGTGTGTCAACCTTTCCCAACCTGGTGCCCTTCAGATGTTTTTGACTGCAAGCCACACCATCCCTGACCATTAGCTTTACAGTCTGGGGCTGATAGGAGATGTGTAGCCCAATGATATTTGGAAGCTCTTGGGTTGGGGGAGGCTGGTGTATTCCAAAAAAGGATGCCAAAAACACCAGAGTGATGAGTTCTAGTTCTTTATTAAATAAGGTCTAGACTTACAGCAAATCCGCCTGCCAGTTCTCCTAGGTTTTGTAGATGCAGGATGGACTCTGCAGCAAGGAGATGACTTATCCGTGCCCAAGTAAATATCCATACAGTACATTCTTTATATACAAAGCAACATACCTCACCCTGTCTTGGACCTCCCATCATTTCATCTGCCCAGATGAGGTCGCAGGTGGCAAATACCCAAGCCTTACAAATAGTTCCACTTCCTGGGCTCAGAGCCCAGCACCCCAAGTCCACAGATAAGGAAGCAAACCAATTAGCTTATATCTAAGCAAGTGACTATAAACATATATAAGCTCATTGCTACAACTACTACCAATTGATTGTGGTGTTATCTTGACTACCAAATAGTGTAAGCAAAGCTTCTAAAACAGTTCATCTTTGGTTCAACACACTTAGATACATGTGTGTGTGTGTCATAGGGTATGCTTTCTCTAGAAACAGGGTGTAAATCTTCTTCAGCATCTCCACCCTACAGTCCTGCCTTTAACAAAAGATAAAAAGTAAACAGTAGCACAATCCTGTCCCTGAGGTATGTCCGCTCACTTGACAATAAGATTGTTGCTAAATCCTCTTTGCACCAGCAGAACACAAACATATGCAGGATTCAAAAGCCAGTGCAACATACTGCTGATAGAGCAACTTCTATACCAGTGTGACACCACTGACTCAGGTGAAGAAAATGAAAGGGTTTGGAGCATGATGGGGTTCCTGTGAACTTTGCTCATAATCCTAAACTTGCTGAGAGATTAGGCCTTCCCTGTGATGTCGGCATAACGTGATGCCTGTAAAAAGGGTGGTTCAAATTAAAAATGTTCTCGTTTATGCCAACAGAAAGAGTTCCAGATGATGATGATTTGCCACCCATCTGACTGGGTTGCCCCTGCCACTCTGGGTGGCTCCCAACAAAATATTAAGAACACAAATGTTTACATCAAACATTTATTTTTTTTAATTCCTATACAGGCTGTCTTCAGATGTCTTCTAAAAGTCAAAGAGCTGTTTATTTTTCTTGAAATCTGATGGAAGGGTGAGCTCCAATACCCAAGAAGGCCCTCTGGTTGGTTCTCTGTAATTTCACTTCTTGCAATGAGGGAACCACCAGAAGGCCCTCGGATCTGGATCTCAGTGTCCAGGCTGAACGTTGGGGGTGGAGGTGCTCCTTCAGGGTCTAGGCTGTTTAGGGCTTTAAAAGTCAGCACTAACGACAATTATCACTTCCTTTCCAGCCCAAACTGGGAATACAGGACTGAGCATACCATCTACTCTCTGAACAGCCAGGAAACACAGATCTCATATATCAAGGTACACGGCATAGGGCCACATCTCTCTGTCCTGATGTTTTGAGAAATTAAGACAAGCACACATGGGAACTCTGGTCAAAGGGCACTTTGCACAAACAAGTAACCAAGGACAACAAGAGAAGCACAAGTAGGGCATATTACTAACATTCGTCTTCTCAGAAATAATAGGTACCATGCCTCAAGATTCTAGAGGTAGGAACCCCAGTTCCAGATGCTGGAAGAAGTAAGCCAGGAAAGGTAAGCTGGGACACCAACAGTATGGTCCATTCATCAATACAATTAATTTTATTCCAAATTCTATATTTTTAGTCTGTGTTGTACACTACATTGGTAGGTGGGTGGGTTTTTTTTTTTTTGTTTTTTTAAAGTTAAGCAGTATAGAAATTTATGTAAAAATAATTAAATTAAATTAACAAGGCAGCAATGAGGCTCAGCATTTGAGAGTGTCTCAAAGCAGGATCCCTGCATACCTTCAATTTGCCCAGTTTCAAGAAGAGAGGTGGCTGTGTAAAATGCAAACTTATGCTGACTCTTCTTGTAATTACCTTCCTTCACTCAACCAGTGGAAAATTCCCTTCATTCTCATAAAGAAGAGACAGGTTAAGTTTGCAGTAAGTGGGGGGGGGGGTCCACCACATGTGGATTAAGGGGGTTGTGGATGAGCAGGAGAGAAGCCTTTGTTGGCGAATGCTGGGCGTTCTGCTCTGCCTGTTGTAACTGCGATGTGTTCTTCCTTGCAAGGTGCTCTCAGGGGAAACAAACAAACAAAAAGCTACTAATAACTTTGCCCTAAATACTGCTAACGTATGTCTTGGCTAGCAGTCTGACCTTACATGTGTTTACTAGTCACAAGTAAGTTCTACTTAAGTCAGTGGCACTTACTATTACACAAGCATGCATAGGTTTATAGCCTAAATCGCATGACAAAATAATGGGGTGCATACTTATAGTATGGTTTTATGTTCTGTTGTAAACCACTTGATTTTTTTTAAAAATAAACAGTGGTATGCAAATGTTTTTTAAAATAAATAAATTCCAATGGGACTTTGACCTAGTAGTCACTGGGGTGGTAAACTTGTGCGTTAACTGTGCCACTTGAGACTGCAGGTGAGGAGGGTATGTGGTTTAATGTTTCTTTATATTTAAAAAAAAAATTCCTTACACATAGAAAATTAGCATCTTAGGGAGAAGGCTAGCATTCTTTCCCCTAGCATCTATTATTCTATGCGGATATTTATGGAGAAGCACTTCATAATGTGAGGCCCCTGCTTCAGTCTCAGGTGGTACAGTCCAGAGTTTGCATCATCCAGCACAACTAAATATAATTGGATCAGGGCAATCATGCCTAGCATTCATATAACACATTTCAAGTGTTCAAAGCCTCCACATGTATATTATATTTGTAATCCTTGCAACCAACCTGTAAGTGTAGGTCATTCTTATTATCCCCACACAAGAAATAGAATGAAGTCTGAGTTCTTAAAGCCACTTCCTGTGCAATCCTATGAATCATGGTCAACCCAATACTTTTTGCTGGCTGATGCACAACACCCAATTGCAGTACCTCTTCCAAGTCAAGATCCATAGTACCAAGTCTAACCAAATTATTTTAGCACCTGAGTCAGAAAATCCCACAATTGCCTCTCCCCAGCCTAGGAGTAGTAGCAGCAGCAGCAGCAGTAATAATAATAATAATAATAATAATAATAATAATAATAATTAAATCACAATTTGCTGTCCTTTTATGCCACCCAAATTCATCTGCCTGAGGCAGCCACCTTCCTCTGCCTAATGGTGGGGCCGCCCTGCAATCCATGATTACTAAGAAGGAAGTTCCACTGTGTTCAATGGAGCCTCCTCTATAAGATTAGAATTGCAGCCTCAGTGAGTTTGAAGATGAGGAAAGGTTTGACCTGAGGAATGTCTAGCTCACAGGCCTCTGTGTTACTGGCTCTCAGATGGGCTTCTTAATATGACTTAAGAATTGGAAACTAACTTGATCACATTTTAAAACAAAGTTGGGAAGCCTGTGGTCCTCCAGATGTTGCTGGTCTCCAACTCTCATCAACCCCAGCCAGCATGGCCAGTGGTCAGGGATGATGAGAGTTTTGGTCCAATAACAGAGAGCCACAGGTTCCCCATTTCTGCTTTAGAAGGTATTTTAGGACAGTTAATAAATGCCAGCTTTATACCATCCCACATTAGCTGTACGTTGACTTATACACGTTGTTTTACCACTTTGGCAACAAACATCCAACAAATTAACTCATATGCAAGTGATTAAATGGTGATTAGTTCCCCCGCCTCTATCTCCTTTTCAGAGCAGGTCACTGAAATACACTTAGGTGCTGTCAGAGGAGTGGTGGTGCTTTTTGGTAGTACTCTAAATGCCTTTTCCTCGACTGGCCCTTTTCACATTTCAGCATTAAAACAGAACTTTCTTAATCAGGCAGATTTCATTTATGACAACCACACTGAGAGCTTATGTGGTTATTTTTACATCATATGTCTTTTTCCAATGTTGGCCTGTACTCTCTAATGTTTCAAAATTTTACCTCACTGAACACATCCTTGAAAAGGCAATCACCTAGTACAACTAGTAATTAGTGCTCTGTCAGCTTTAGCACCATTAGTTTCCAAATGCTAACATCAGCAAGCCTATTGTATATCACATATGAAACTGGAATGTGTGTTAGTGTCTACATTTAGGTGTTTGCAACAACTTTGCTTTAGAAGACTTTCCGTATAGGTAGGTATTTCATATGCATGCATGCATATTCTGTAACCAATAGCATTTATATGTGCAGTAGATAGTTTCTTACACTGTAAATCTCTTTTTGTTTAATGTCCCAGTGTGTCAAAGAAACAGGAGACAGACAGCAGGATTCAGAACATAGGGTGGGCAACAATGCGTCAGGAATGTGTCATCACTTTTCCCAACCCAGTATTCAGGCGGACTTTTTAAGAGGGAGAAGTGATGTATTGAGGGTGGGGTGAGATGACTAAGGAAGGGAAGAGCTGAAGACTGCCCCCCCCCCGATATTTCATGGTCTCTCAACTAGTTTATCAATAAAATGCTGATATGCTATTCCATTTGTTTTCAGCTTTACTCATCTCAGCATTTACAATTACAATTATTGATACATTTTCTTAATTTGGCCCCTCCACCAATAAAGGTGCTGCCACAGGTAAGCCCGTAACCTTGTCCACGGGTTATCTGCTGAAGACGGTCCTGACAATGGCTCTGTGAAGATGCTGGAGGTGACTCAGTCAGGAGGCCACATAAATTCCTTGGTCTTCATGTCACCTGTGTCTTCATCTAAAGAAGAGTCATCCTGGCTCTGGCCTGATGATCCGTTCTATGCATGCTGATCACTCAGCATGGAGCTAACAGCCAAGTTAGTAGGTATCTGATTGTAGCCTTAAATCTCTGTAGGGTGTTGTTGTTGCTGTTGCTTGAAGGACTCCACTGATTGCCATTCTATGGTGGTTATTTCCATGTTACACCACCACTAGAGATGCCATGCTTCAGCTGTTTGCTATTGCTGCACGCCACTCCAATCTTTGAGCGGTGTTACTCAGTGTTTCCTTTGGAATAGGATACATGGAGACTGTAGTGTCTTTGTGATATACAGTTTATTTACATAGATATACAACCTGAGGCTATGATGGAGGGGTTCACAGCATCAACACCCCTGAAGCATCCTGCTTCTCCCATAACCATAGTCTTGGATTCTAGCAGAAATCAAGCATAGCTCTGACACTCTACCTTCCTAGCCAGCTGTCTTGCTTCCAGCTTCTAGCTCACATCATTCAACTCTCCACTCTGGCCTTCATCTTTCTAACTACCAGTGAGTTGAGGGAGGGGGTCCTACCCATTTACCACCTGGCACGGATCCACTTCTTTTAATTACCTAGGCTATCACCTCACCAGGAATTCACACGTTTATATTTTAACTTCCTGGATCCAGGGATTAGAAGAGTCTCAGCATACAGCCTACTTCCCCCACCCCCCACAAACTCACAACAATATCTTAATTGCTGCTGACCTTGGTTTTTCACTAGTTGTAGTGTGAAACCAGTGACACTTCTCAAACATGTGACATGGCTAGATGGTGTCACAATTCAGCTGCGGAACAGAACAAACTCATCTAAGGTTTCTCCATTCCTACTTTAAGATGTGGAGCCACATCTCAGAAATCCACTCATTAAATGGCTTATTTTAGACTTATTTTACTATTCATGTCCCACCTTTTTGCCCAGGGCAGGACCCAAGGTGGCTCACACACTAAAAAAAGAGAGCTTTAAACAAAACCAAACCACCGATCAGTTGTAAATATTAATAAAAAGCAATTAAATAAGTTGTTATATCAAAACAGTGCTGAACCAAAACAACTTAAAACCATTCAAAAGCACCAGAGGAGGAAAAGATATGCGGCAGCCACCATGAGAAGACCCTGCTGGTAGCCAGCTGGTGGCTAAAGACCTGCCAGAGAAAGGAAAGCAGAGTATGGGTGATTCTCACATCTCCATTCCTTGCAATAACATTGTATAGATGTTACTGCATTATATACAGACACTAGGCTGTATTGCATCCACGCATACTGAAACAAAATGAATAACCCAGAATCTTATGTTGCTTCTGACCTGCAGTACTAACCAGAAATAGAAAAACACACACAAATTACCAACGTTACATATTTGCACTGGAGTTACGCTTATTCGAATGCATAAAACGAATAATTTCTTGCCTCAAACCCCTTTCCTTCCAATGGTATTTCTTTCTTTCTTTGAAATATGGAAATAAATAATGTCCTATTACACACCGGGAGCAAATTGCTGCAACACCCTGAGTAAAGCGAATGTATTCTTTTCGTCGCCACATGTTACAGCAACCACTGTTGCATTGTCAGGCTTTGTGACAGTCAGTGTGTAATCAATATTAATTTCTGCAGATTTCCCCCCACAAACTAGCTAGTCAGCTCTAGGGGGCATTGCGATTGAAGTGCACAAAATACTTGTCAAAGGCTAAGTGAAACCTATTCACACCTGGTCTCTGGCCTACTTAACTGTAATTTTGCTTAAAGTCTTATTAAATTAATGTCATCATCCAATTAGCTGTGCAATAAAAACATTCACAGTGGGCCTTAACTTGACTCCTGAAATCCTTTGTGTCCTAAAATCAATAGGATTACAGAGGAAGGGAATAGAGTGGAGCACCCACATAAATCTTTTCAGGAACACCTTGGTTCATAAACTGTTTGGGCAGGGCCCTGTCTTCAAAATACCGCTAAAAGTCTGACAACAGTGGCTGCACCAGCTCATAAGCAGCAGACAATGAAAGGCAAACCACAAAGGGGCAAAATCTTGAATGTGACATGGCGTAGAGGATTTATAAAGGGTCTTCTAGATGACATTACCAACTTACTTGCCTTTATAGTTTGCCACTTGTTGTTTATTGCTTTCATATAGTTGTTACACACCACCAGCACTCTGGACAGCAAATGTGTGGTGCTGCTTTCTGGTTCTGTCGAAGACCTGCAAGGCAGAGGTTCATTATAAATATTGTATCTTGTTTCAGAATTGACACACAGGAATTGCTGTTCTCGGGAAGTGAATGAAATATAGCTACCGTACTCTGCTGATTCCTTAACCTCAGGAAAGAAATCCTATATACTAATAGCAAACTCATTCTCCAAGTGTGGGTCCTTATATAGACAAAAAGACACCACCAATGTAGAAGAGGGGGATACCTGCAATCTTGGAGGAAACCCGAAGTTTTCAAAAGCACTGAAATACACGGGGGGGGGGGACCTAGCCCAATGAAGACAGGTAGGTTTGGACTCCTGATTGACTGGTGTGGGGCAGGGGGTGGGATGGAAAACCAAGGTAGGAGGAAGAGTAGAATGGCATATCCTCGAAAAGGATATGACTGGTTGACTGGAAACCTGAACAGAAGGACTTCATACTGCAGTGTTTTGTTGCAGGCCCCAATTGTATATAATAACGGTCAGTTTGATGCGCAGAGCAATCTGGCCAGGGAGCAAAAAGGCTAGAAAGTGTGAGTGTGGTGGTTAAATCCATAGATGTAGTGCTTTCTTTCTGGGGGGATGCAGGGATACACATACCCCTAAACATTTTGTGAATCTAAGTTTGGCCTCATTGAGGGGCAGTATTTCAATATGAGTAGGAAAATGAGAGTACCCCTAAACTTTTTGTTCTTAAAGAAAACACTGTATCTATGAATGTGCTTGGGGTGATTAGGAACAAGCTGGGGCCTGAATTTCCAAATAACACAAACTAAACAACCTTGGTATTATGAAAGTATTTTATGTAGCTAATACAGACAATTATAAACAAACAAAATATGAAATCACCCGACTCAGTAAAATGAAATGAAATATGACCAGATGTGTTTTGACCCCACGGTCTTCCTAAGTGGTCTATTTCCCTCTCCCCCAAATAGAGTGGTACCTTGGGTTACATACGCTTCAGGTTACAGACACTTCAGGTTACAGACTCCACTAACCCAGAAATAGTACCTCAGGTTAAGAACTTTGCTTCAGGATGAGAACAGAAATCATGTTCCAGCGGCGGGGCAGCAACAGGAGACCTCATTAGCTAAAGTGGTCTTCAGGTTAAGAACAGTTTCAGGTTAAGAACGGACCTCCGGAATGAATTAAGTACTTAACCCGAGGTACCACTGTAATGTCAAAAGCAACTACACCAAATGGACTACTAATAATACTAAATCTGGCCATAAAGTGCAGTGTATGCATATTTTTCATCCAAAACTGGCATTGGGAATCCACAAGCTGCCCTTCCAGTTGGAACATGTGTCTAAAATGAGCCCAACTACTGAATGATCATAAGGTGTTATTCCCTTTGTGACTCAATGGGACCCCACTCTGGAAGGTGAACCAGTGGATCCTTGACCAGCCCAGCTCTCACCCACCACATCATGCCCCATTGGGGGCCCCCTCTGCCAGTGGTAGGATTGCCGGCAAAGAACTTTCTCTGGCTGCAGCAGAGACTTCAGCAGTGACAGTGGCCCCCTCCAATGGGCAGAGGCCAGAGATTGTCCACTGATTCTGAACCCACTCCAGCAGGATGGATTGGGGTTAGGTTTGTGACCTAATACAGGAAAGTAGTCGCTGCTGGCTGGGGTAAATCACAACAGTCTTTAGTCTCTTTTTAAAGAATGATTCTGTATTTCAAAGTGCAGTTTCTGTGGGAAATAATATGGAGGAAAATTAATACTTTTTAAATAATGTTGCCATTGCTAAAGAAGGTCAAGTCTTTTCCAAGCATGAGACAGGGGTTTCAAAGCTTGTGCTTTGTCTGTCTGCAGTTCTAGACATGAAATGACTAAAACTGATTCAATAATTGGATAATATGAGAACAAAATAATATTCACTTTCAGCTACATTCTGGATTTGGGGCTTTTGTTCTTCAACACTAAATGAATCTACGTTGTTCATTTTAAAATGGTTTGGAGCATTGTTTTAGCCATGCAGTTGAAAACGGAAGAGATAAAAAAAGTGGAAATCTGCCCAAAAACTTGCTCCGACCATAATGCGGTAAAGATGGAAATGAACTTAACAACAACTGGTACCTTCAGATGGAGGATGAATGACACCTTGTTTAGGGATGAGGAATTCTGCAAGAAGGCTATGAAAACTTTGAAAGACTATTTTGAAATCAACATGAGGACCAATGTAGAAAAAAGAATAATCTGGGACGCAAGCAAAGCAGTTATGAGAGGATTTTTGATACAACAGAATGTAATCAAAAAGAAAAGCCAGAATGAGAAGAAAGAAAATTTTTTGGAAAAAATAAGAGATGGAGAAAAGAAATTAAGATCAAAACCAAAATCACAGGATATTCTGAAAGAAATCAAATTATATCAGACACAATATATGGAGTTGACAAATCAAGAAATAGAATGGAAAATTAAGCAAATGAGACAAAAGACTTTCGAATCAGCAGATAAATGTGGGAAATTGCTGGCTTGGCAAATAAAGAAGAGACAAAAATTAAATACGGTTACACATTTAGAAGTGGAAGGAAGGAATATTTACAAACCAA